AAAAAAAAAAAAAAAAGAAAAAAAAAAAAAAAAAAAAAAAAAAAAGAAAAAGAAGTGGGATGCAACGGGCGTCGTTGAATTAATTACATTCGGCTCTTGGTGGGGATTCAGGCCGCGTGTGCACACTTCCTCGCGGCTCTGTCGATGGCCCTTCTGCTTCTTCAATTTTATTTTTAGCCACCCTCTCGAGGGGCGAATTTTTTTTTTTTTTTGGACGAGGGGAGGAAGCACAGTGACGTTGGAGCGGGCGTACACGCGATCACCGTTTAGTCGGGAAAATGAAATTGTCGCAGGTAATAGACTCGCGGACTCAATCTGGTATGGAAAAGATACATGTAGGGGTAAACTCGTAAGGGATTCCTCGCGCGTTCGCGGTATTTTCGATTCGCTCCACGCGCGACTCGGATCATTCAATCCACGGGGGGGGGGGGGGTGCACTCTCGCGAGCGGATTTTTCACCGCGGGGGTGTACGTACCAACAACGCACGGACCGAGCGTTCGATTGTCGGGGAGTTTTGGTTGCGAGGGGCGTGAAATTGATATTTATAGGTGCCGGTCGAGACGGGATGTGTTTTCGTGGAAAACGTGACGAAACAAACGGCGAGTTATCCTTCTGACCCCCCGATACGTCGCGTTAAAAAAGAAAACAATCGAAGAGGGGATGTACCACGGAATGCCTCTCACGGGTCGACAGATACAGGCAAATGTTCGAGTTGTTTGGGGGGAGGTGGGGTACGATTGTACGTGTATATACGATGACGAGATGCCGGGAGTTTCGAGGATGCAACTCTCGAGTACATTAGACAGCAGCGGAGCCTCTAAGCCGCTCTCCTTGGCGTACACGTAAGGGAGAAGTAGATCCACGCGGGGATGGGCCATTTCCGGGACATTTGAGCCAAAAGCGAGCTAAACGGGGGAACAGACAATAAGAATATTGTTATTATTTGGCCCGATAATATCCCGGGAATGGCGATGGCAGGGGTTGTAAAATAGAGCCGACGGACGGGCGATATGGTCGGGGGAGAAGGGGTCGTTTGAACGAACTGGACCGCGATAAGTTGCCCGACTCTTGTGTACGGCTCGAGTGGGACTATACTCGTACATCAAGAAGAAGGGGGGGGGGGCGAGTCCGGTTGCATTTTAATGCGGGGCTTTCGAGGGACAGCTCGAGCAAAAGCAAGTGGATCCGATATCCCTATACTTTTATCGATTGTCCGGACGATCCCGAGTTTGTACCACCAGCATAAAAAAAAAAGCGCTCCAGTGAACAAGAGGCTGCATGTGAAACGTGCACTTACCGTCGTCTTCTCGAGGCACCTCAGCAAGTGATGGTGCTGCAGCTCGAATATGTCCTCCTGCTTGAGGTAATCGTCCGTCTCGAGGCCGCTCTCCTGGGCCGCCAATCGCGCCTCGGCGGCTTTCTTCTTGCTGACGAACGCTGCCCCGCTCGACGCCTTGGCGATCCTTATCCGCGCCAGTCTGGCTTTCTGCAACATTCGAGCAAAACTTGGTTAGTCACGGCACGCGATATTACATTACAAGTGTATAATCGAAGGGTGTATGGGGATTATTGGGCGCGTTTCATCGCCCCACGCGTGAATGTGTGCACGTGTAAGTGCCCCGTCTGACCTCGTCGTAATGGCCGTACGGGATCCATTCATGGATACTGCAGGTAATTACCACTGGAGACGCCAATCACAGCCCGCGGGGGTTGCTCAGCCGATGACGACGCAATATTTAAACAGCTGAGCATCCACCCTTTGGGGTATTATAGCTTGGGTATATAGACGTTTGATCATTCGATGATGCACCTATACATACCTCATATAGGGATACGTTGAAAAAAAAAATTGTGGCGACTGTAAGTAGTAACATACGAGTTTGGTCAGACGCCCTGATTTTCATTTCGTACACATGAATGTTAAAATAGAGAGGGCAGCTTTGGGAGGGGGAAAAAAAAAGAAAGGTTCTGTGCTCCATCGAGACCCTTTAGGCTCGAATTGAATCACGGGCGCTTTCAGTGCGTCAAAGCTCGACTCGTTAATTTCTCGAAAGCACTCGTTTAACCGAGCCACTGCGAGGAAGAAAGAAAAACTAACATTCGAGGAAACGAGTGTCGCGCGCAAGCGGCTCTAAAAGCCCGGAACGGTATTTTTTTTGCTCAGCTGCAGGAGGAAAAAAGGGGGGTGGGGAAAAAAAAAATTTAGCGCTGAAAAGGGGCCTCGTACAGCCGGCGTGAATTTTTTCGCTCGCTCGGCAATTAAGCCGCTCGCTCGGCGGCCTCGTCACGGCCCCGGGAAATTGCAATCGGCGCGCGCGCGCGTACAAGCTCACCCACCTCCTCTCCCATAGTACGTAGACGAGGACGAGTCAATCCTCGACGACCCTCCCAAATGGCTCGGCGATCTTTCCACCTTTTCGGAGCACGACGCCGTTACACGCCGCTATTAGCCTCCCTCATTTTTATCGGCTCGCGCTTTGTACCTACACGGGCTCCAGTGAGTGCTAATGTCTTTCGTGCCCCACTATTGGCTGCTAGTTTATGCGCACCGCGGATTTTTCCCGCGAAATAGTTTAGGGACACTCGGGGTATTTCGGTGAGCACAAAGAGCCGAACCTAGAAAACCCTTGTTTCCCCCCTCGGGGCATAGTTGAGATTATTGGACTTTCTTCGCAGCAGCCGAGAGCGCGGCCACTCAAAGGAGGACAGCGCGGTTTTTTCTCCGACTGTCCGAGGAAGAAAACTAACTTTTCGCTAATCCGAAGCCACCACGGCTCACAGAGGGACTCACGAAGCGTGAAATGGCTCCACTCCGAGAAAAGCTGACTCGTTTTTTTTTTTTTTTTTTATTTTTTGCTCCCGAGTCGGCAGCGTCGCTTGCGAGTCATAATCGGAGGGTTGGATTTGCAGTGCCGATCGAGGACAGGGGGGGGGGGTCTACCGGAACGTGATTACGTGGCGTGACGTAGGCAAGAACAACTAGACTGAGAAAACGGAGGAGCGAGCGAGTGATTTCGATGTCGGCTAGTAGAGCGTGTAGCGGAAACGAGAGAGTGAAAATCGAAATTTCGTCTCGCCGAAACGTGGTTTGAAGTTGGGAACGTTTTCTCGAAAAAGTTTGAAAAAATAGCGCACGCTCCAGGGCGCGTCTGACCAAAGATTGGAGCGACTACTGAATTTCGACTTTTTCCCTGTAGTGGGCAAAAATTTTTTCAAAAACTCAAGCAGCGGAACCTTCTCGATCTGAATCTGTCAAAAAATCGCCAACTACTCAGAAAAGAAGAGGAGACACAATTGCTAATCACCAACGTTTGATCAGGGCGGATCATAGCCCTCTCTGACCGATATCACTCGTCGTGACTCTACGTTGTGCCTTTTTTTTATTTTTCCAAACGCCAAAGTAAATAAGACTCCACAGTGACACATTATCCACTGTTTGTATACTTATGAGGTTACAGTACCACTATTTTAATTAAATGAGCCAAGCTTCGTAAAAACAGTGCTTATATAATAATTAATAAAAAAAAACTCCCCTGATTGATCAATCGCTCTGAACCAGCCGCTCAAAAAAAAGTGCGTATTTGCGAGATGCGAGTTTAATTTCGAAGAACGATAAATAGAGCTTGTTTAGCACGCGCGCGCGTACGTATGGGGTGACTGTGTGCTAATCGCAAGGTCCTCCGGAAAATTAGTTCGTGCCCTCGAGCGACTAATTCTCTTCGCCCTGTTATGAAACTTCCGACCCAGCTTGTACATATACCTATATGCGTTTGTGTAACGCGCGCGCACTTGTCAAATAAGGCTTGTCCCGTCTGTACGTGAGCATTGCACATATTATTGTCATAAGAAAAACATGTGTATTCTTTTTAATGGAGCCAATCATACATAATCGTGGATGATACTTTTGCATCGTCGATTGTACGGAATTTTCGAATAAACGTTTTTTTAAATATTTTTTGGTCCCTAATTATGAAATAAATACGTGTGACGTTTCTGGGGTGATAAATCAAAATTACGGTACACGTTAAAGGAAGTGCCAATCCAATGAGATGTGTATTTAAAACTTAAAAAAAAAGGATAACAGTACCCAGATTGCAAGTAACAATTCTTCGGACTCTCTAGTTTCATTGTCATTGACATTACTGTTCCTTCCGTGCACACGTCTGTAAGGTCATCGCTTTGTGATTCGAACCCATATTCCATCGTTTAGTGTAAGTGGGCTCAGCTAAGTCATCCAACGGATTCACGTCTGCGTAACGTTAATGAAGCTACATATAGAGTCCAGATAAGTACAAGCTGTGTACCATAAATATTTCCAATAGTAAACAAAAAAAACGAAATTCTTGGCTAATGTAGAAAACGAAAAGTTCCTCGAGGCATTGGGTCAAACTTATTAAAATATTACAACCGAGAAAAAGTACACGCTACTAAGAACTAAAAAAAGAACTAGAAAAACTACACGTTTACTCGCTAAAACTTTCTTCGCAATCTTAGTCGCGAACAATACTTGCGCGTATCGTTTCGCGTCTCGAGTGCCAAGGAAAAAAGAAAAAGTGCAACAATGCAAATTCCCAGCGAAATTCAAAACAATTTTTTTTGCCAACGGTCGAAGCGAAAAAGAAGCCGAAGAAAAGAAATTCAATGAATGCATCTTTGTAGGTACACACGCACATGGGAGAAAAGGGAATGCGTCGTCGCGGGTTGACTATTATTACGGGGATGACGGGCGCGTTATTGCGGCGTAAACGCGACGCACGTTATCGGCCCTGTCAGCGCCACACCGCGTAGTTTACACCCGAGGAGAGGAATAAAAAAAAATAAAAAAAGGTCCCGACCTTCGTAAAGCTCGACGTCCACTATGTTTTGTCGACTGAAACTTTGTTTATTGCCCGTGTGTGAACAATAGGTACTTCCGATCTGATCGAGTTTGGTCGTAAACTGTGTTCTGTACAACAAACGACAAATCGTCGACAATCGGTATTTCGAACAAAAAACGAGTATATATATACATATAGGTACACGTATAAGTAGAGGTATAGCAATATCTCTCACGCGGAGGTTGCACTCGGGGCCAATTTGCCAGTCAATTTTCCGGTCAGTCGCTCGAGTGCGTCTCTTCCCTTCCCCCCGCAAACCTAAGAGCTCCGGCTTCTCTCCTTCGCTTATACCGCGCTAATTACGTTTGATTAATTAATGCTACACACGCCTGCAATAACAATGATTCGTGCGTCAGAGATCTCGTGCACACGTGTGTGCCCCCAACCCTCCTTGGGTGGGTGTTTACTGGTGCTACCACGAGATCGGAGAAGAAGGAAGATCGGCGGTTTTTGGGATTGCGTGGCTTGTGATTATCACTGGGTGATGTTTCCAGTAATGCGGACGAGCGCGTGTCGCAACTTTTCAACTTGTTGTTGCTCAGTCACCGATGGCGATCGAACCTGCGTTTGCAATAATGTAGTTTTGGAAGCCGAGCGGGTTCTCGAAATAGCGATGCCGTGCGCGTCTGTGTTATAAAACTTTTCCATCAGAGATTTCGACTCGAACAATTTGATGGTAGGGTGTCGTGAAAAATGCTCATCCTCGGTACAGTGAAAATGAATCGATCGTATCAAAGAGAGGGACTTTCTCAAACGAAATATCTGAGTACAAAGCTTTTTTTTCTCCCGCCGGGAGACTTTGGCAATAATTATTTCATGGTTGTTTAAACACTTGCAACTGTCTTTTGTGAACAAATTTCTTAGTCATCTTTTGTTTTCCAATACATTTTATTGCACAGTATTTCAAATCAAATATGTATTTAAATAGGTACTTTTACTGTTATTTTATTCTTGATTGTTTCTCCCTGTCAAACTGTAATTCGAAGTTATTGCTAAAAGGAAATTATTTTAAGCACATGATTAAAAAAAAATAATAATAATAAATAAAAAGAATTTTAAATCATCTGTATAGGTACCCAAGTCTGCTCGTTGGGATGGAACCGAAGCCGACACTTTTCCACAATCGACGATCACGCCAATAGGGTATATAACCCTGGCTCGGTAGCGAAGAGAAAAATCTCTATAATTACCAGCCCCCCCCCCCCTGACGCTCTGGTTTTCAACACCTCCCGTTTATCGGCTCGCTGTTGATTCCCAAGCAGGTCTGCCGAGTCTCAAAACAGTTTACGCGCCTTTCCACCTCGACGAGGCCCGCGTGGGTATAGTTTCCCCGAATCCATCACAGTTTTTCAGTGAAAATCAACGGCTGAGAAAACAGAAACGGATAAGCCTGCGATTCGCGGAAGCGGAGAGAGAAAAAACGTATAGAGTGTATTTTCGGAGCGGTTTCCTCTACTTGTTTTTTTTTTTTTTTTTTTTTTTTTTTCATTCTAAGGCTCGATTTCCGAAACCGCGTAACGCGAAAAACAAAATAAATTTTTCCCTCTCGGAAATAAGCAGCCGCGACACAAAAAAGACAAAGAGAGCCGGTACGTGACGTGTCTGAGGG